TAGCTTGATTCCACTGTGGTCAGATAGGATACAGGGGATTATGTCGATCCCTTTGTATTTGCTTAAGTTCCTTGCATGAACTATGATATGGTCTATTTTGGAGAAAGTTCCATGAGCTGCTGAGAAGGAATCACCTATTTTTAAAAAATCATCTTCACCCAAGAGGATTGAAGACTTACATGTATCAGAGTTGTAGTTTGGTGAAGCACAGAACAATGGAAAAATCACACTCTACGGTACTGTTAAATGGTTGGTAGCATTGCCTCATTACTACTCTGGGTCTCTTCTTGAGTGGTTATCTATGTGTGTATATTAAAGATATAAGCATGGCTTCCTGTTTTATTGGTAAACACTCAGGTATGCATTTGCAGTCTAAGACCTGTTTTTACAGAATTGGGTGGTATTTGTTGAGCTTTTTTTTTTTTTTGTCAATTGTGGGGCCTGAATTCTCTAGGCCTGGGTGCTGTCCCTCAGCTCTTCAGCTCAAGGCGAGAGCCCTACCACTTGAGCCATAGCATCACATCTGGCTTTTTTCTGCTCATGTTGTGCTGAGGAATCGAACCCAGAGCCTCATGCATGCAAGGCAAGCACTCTACCACTGAACTACCTTCCCAGCCCAAGCATTTATCTTCTAGGCATTTTTAAAAAATATTTTACATGTATTCATTTCATTTTTGAGCCTCTCTATGGAATAGACATATTTATGCCCATATTTATGCTTCCTCTCTGTGGTAGTACTTAAACAGCTTGAGCATATACATTGTACAGACACTTGTGAGTGTCTGTAGAATATGTTGAAGTCTATGGGGATTTAATCTTAATTCTGCCTCTTACTAATTGCGTAGCTTCAAATAATTGATTCTCTGATTCACTTTGTCTATGATTCAGTGTTTGCAAAACAGTGAGTTGAGAAAATTAAACAAGTTAATATAAATATTTAAAACAATATCTTGTCCCACGTGCTCCCAATGATCTGTTAACATTTGATTTACTCCTCCCAGCAACCCCTGAGTTTCACAGCACCCAGATGAGGAAAGTGGTAGAGATGTAGGCATGGACCTTGTCCAACACTGTGCTGGTCTTCTTCCCTCTCACCTAATCTATTTTATTACTTAAGGGCAGATTCTTCCTAGAATTAATCTAGTTTTCTCTTGAAATATGTTGTGCAATGATACAGGGCT